GAGAAGGGTCACCTCATTCAATCCATGGGGTTTGTTCAGCAATCCAAATAAGTCTGCACCACCAAACCCCCTTTTTGAATTAAAAGGACAAGTCTTTTAAAGAAGGAGATGTAAAATTTGACAAACATTACTGAGGCATTTATTTTAATTAAAAGCTCTTGAATTCATACTCTTGACTCTTGAGCCCAATAGGTTTGAAAAGTTGCATCACCAGATTAAAGAATTGGGTTCTATCCCATGACCAATTGTAACATGTTTAAAGAGAGAAGAGAAATAAAGAATTGCAAAATCAAAGTTTAGGCACCCAAAAATTATTAGGTTTTAGATTCAAATCTTATCTGATGTAGGTTAAATTTATTTTAAATCATATATGCACCCTTTTAAATATAAGTCCTTTTTTTTTTTGGGGGGGTGTGTTTGGTATTCATAATGATAATTGGATTTTCATGTGAGTGCATGGTTGCTATTGTCAACTTAATTATCAACCAAATGATCGAATGGAGTGGCCATCCATTCTGTCCCAAGAATGTGAGAATCCTGCTAGAATTTGAGAGTTTTGTATGTAAATTGATTCTAACTTTATATATAGTATAAAATTAGCAAATAAAATCTTTATCATATCACCAAAATCTTCAAGTTGATCATTCCCACTCACTACCAAAAGGCATTGAATAGTGATGTTTTACCTACCTTAAAACACTCTAATTTGATTGTCAAATAAATAATAAAGGCAGGTGAGACTAGGATTAGTATATTAATCACATTTTTGAACCTCAAAATGGGTAAAAAATATCTATATTATAACCCTTGTAGGTGATATATAGTTATATACAACTTAATATGACACCTAGAAAAGATTGAAATTTAAGCAATTAAATGTACCAGATTTTGAGGCCGACTTCCAATCAACTATTAATTCCAAAGGACGTTGGAAATTTAAGGGATTAGCTTATAATTTCCTGCCATTTTTTTAGGTATAAGCTTATATCTTCTAGCACATCTAATTAAAGATATACTTGATATGGTTTCCTGACTTTCCTCTTTAATTCTTTCCTCACCTGTCTCAAAAATTTAAATCAAAACATCTAATTTAGAGTTTTAGGTTAATCTAAACATCTAATTATAACTATATTTTTAATTACCAATTAAGACACTTAATTAGAAGCAATGAATTGCGTAGAGAGAATCCTTTTAAGTTTTAACAAGTTGATTCTTCAGGAGAGAGGGACGACAATCAGAAGCAAAACACTTCCCCTTCACAAGGATATTGTCTGACTAAGTACACGTACATCTCCATGAATTTCATAACCTTAACGTGAATAACTCATTTTTAGGTGGTCCATTATATATAATGAACAAGTGGAAAAGAAATAGAAAAAACAAAGAAGGATCAACTCAATGTGGTCGACTGGTCGGGCATTTGGTTGATTAAGAAACAATAGCGAATTATAGCAGTGCCAATGCCCACAATTAGTTGAATCCAGAGACATGACTCTTTTTTCTCTTTTTTCTCTTCCTCTTTTTTATTTTTTATTTTTTATTATATGATGATAAGTTATATAATAAAAAATAATTATTTT